CGTCCCTGGGGAGAAGGCCTGGGATGAGGGCCAGAGCGGATGCAAGGAGCTGGTGCGGAGTGCCGCGGTGGTCTGCACCACCACCTCCCCCTGCCCGCCGGCTCTGCCAGGCCCTGGGAGCAGCCACCATGGGGAAGGGACATCTCCGCTCCCCGGGGAGCGGGCAGGCACCCCTGAAGCTGCTCCTCCTTGGCATGGGGCAGGCAGCAGCCGGAGCCCAGCATGGCCCACCTCGGGGGATGCACGTGGCCCCAGGACTGTGCAGGAGTGAAGGGCTGCACGGTGAGCCTGGGGGATCGCTGCTCCGGCTAGCTCCCTGGGCGCTGGGAGGGGTGGGAGGGGGAGGTGTTTGCTTTGGCTTTTTGGCTGTTTGCACACCAACACCTTTGCATTAGGTCCTGGGATAGAGTGATGCGGTACTGGCCGCCGCCAAGTTATTTGAACGCCAATTCCAGGTAGCGGGAGGCAAGCAGGGCAGAGCGGAGCCGACCGGCGCTTGTGCTGGCGTGCACGTAGGGCAGCCTGTGCGCGGGCAAGAGCATACCCCTGCCAGCTGATCTGGCAGCAGGCACCGCGCTAACCTGCTCCTGCATGCCCTCCCTGCCAGCCCAGAGGTAGCTGTGGTGCTCTGCCTTGCCTGTGTTGCCCTGGGGCAAGCCTCTTGCTGCACCCGTGGCTGGGCTGGCACCACAGCCCCTCTCTGGTGGCAGTGGAGAAGGTCGCCGGCATCCTGCTGTGGGCAGTGGATGGCTTTCCCTGCCTGTGACTCGGTTTCTTTGTCTGGAAAGCAGGCAGCCTGGGAGTCTGGCAAGGAGGTTAGGTTAGGAGCAAGGCTGCAGCCCTGGGCCCGCAGGGTGCCCTGCGGGACGGGAGCGCTTTTTGGAAACCTCTGCCAGGGGTGCTGCTTCCCTCTCACAGCAGTGTGGGTGCTGGCATAAAATACAGCCAAAACACTAAAAAAAAAAAAAAAGTAATTTTTTTCAGACTAAATTTTTTTAATTGCATTTTTAGCTATTGCAAAAAAATAAATATGAGCTGATTATTATTATTATTTTGTCCCTGCCGTGTTGCGTACTCAGTGGCTGCAGTGCCAAGCTAGTGCCTGGAAATGATGTAAAACCACAAGCTCAGCATGCAGTTTGGGGAGCCAGAGTGCTGCTTCTGTGCCATGTGCCAGGGCAGGTCTGCTCTCCGGCCGGTGTCCTGGCTGCGCGTGCCCCCACAGGAGCCTGGCACCCTTCCCACCAGGGGCCCAGAGCGGGGCAGCCTGTGTGGGACCCTCTGGGCCAGTGATGGGGCCTCGTGGAGCGCCTTCATCACCCGCATTTTGGGGGTTTCCTGCCCGGCCCCTGCACCCCACAGTGCAGGAGGAGAGTCCCGGACACGCGTGCCATCCTGCAGCTGTGGGGGCGAGCGCCGGAAAGCAAAATGCTGCCTACTGCTTTAAGTTCCTTCACTGGCCATGGGGATTTTTTTTTATTTTTTTTCTCTTGCGCTATGAATGGGTTTTGCTGTAAATTATAGCTTTGCACACATTCCCTCGGGCCGAGGAAAATAACCTCCGCCGAAAAGCCAGCCTGGATTGGTGACTGGCTCCCCCTCTCTGCTCCCTAATTGAAACCAAATGTGCAAGATGTAGGATTGTGGGATTTCTGGCCGGCTCCCAGGAATCCGCAGAATGCGAACGCGCTCCCAGAGGCATCTTGCATCAGCCCGGGGAAGTTCGCTCCTCGCCTGGCTCCCCCGGCCCGGGCGAGGGGCGAGGAGCCCGCCCGCCCTCTGTCGCCTCCCCGCTCCGGTGAGTCGCTCTCGGGTGTGTGGGGAGGCGTTCGCCCCCCCTCCCCCCTAACTTTGGGATTTTGGGGGGATGTGGGGTCACCCGTGCTCTGTGGTGGAGCCCGGGCAGAGGGGCCAGGGTGCGGGTCTGCCCGGGAAGGGGCTGGGGAAGCAGCAGAGCAGCGTCCCCACCCGGGGGACGTGACATTTGGCCCTTTCTCTCCATTTTTTCCCCCCACTGCCAGTGCTCCCCCTCGTGCCAAGCCAGCGCTTCCTGGTGTCCCTCCTCAGCTCCCGCCTGTGTGTCTGTTGGCAGAGGGCGGTGGTGCTGGCCAGCCAGAGAGGCTCCGCTGTCCCCAGGGTCCCCCAGCCAGGCACCAGGTCACACCGGGGAGGGGACACAGGGCCACTGGACTGGTGCTCCTGAGCATCCTGCCCCCCATCCTGGTGCTCGTGGCTTCCCAGCCCTGCACCGTGGCGGAGCAATGCCGTGCAGCCCTGCACCGTGGCAGGGCAACGCTGTGCACTGTGGCACAGCGTCGCGGAGGAGGAGGACTGCAAGTTTTTGGCTGGCGGGGGTGCTTGCTGGGTGCAGCACCCACAGAACCATGTCCCCAGGCCCCACGGCCGTGGGCTGTGCTGCTGGCAGGTCTCCCCGGGACAGCTGGCAGCCACGCGGATGTGCCCAGCTGCAACTTGGACCCTGCCACGGCTGCGATGCCCCTGGCTGAGCCGGCCAGCTTGCGGCTGGGGAGGCGCTTGCCACTGCAGAAAATGGGGCTGCATCCAGCCCAGTGAAGGTCTAAAATGGCATTTTTGGAGGGGAGGGGGACTACGGGTCCCGGCATGCTGCACTATGCTCCCGCCGCGGATGCGCCGGCGGCACGGGC